CTATAGGGGTCCCTTCCAACACAAAACATTCTATGATTCTATGAAAAAAAAAAAAAAAAATTCAAGTGCCAAAACGTCAAGATCCCAACCTTCCCGTATGGCCAAAGCCTTCGCGTTTCGGTATTGGCACCGCGCTGGGCGCAGGAGCTGGGCACCACATGCTTAGGTTTGCTGGAAGCACGGCAAGGGCTCCGTCTTCCTGAAGCCCTGCTCCCAGAGCCGTACCGCTGCCATTCGGGATCGTGCTTCCAAACTTCTCAGTACTCTCCTAATGATATTTCCTGCCGAACGCTTCGAGGGACATCTCGCTGCTGCCCGACAGCTTATGGCTTGCCGTTAGCTGCTGCTCTTATACCATCTGTTCCGGTAACGAAAGGAGACGCAACAAGTGTTTCTGCACTACTGCATCTTTTCCAGAGCACGCTTTTTGCTTCCTAATGGTTATCTGCAGCGCTGCAAACTTTGTTGGCGTCTAGAGCAAAAGCTGGGCTATGACCAGACTGCGGCAGAGAGCTGTCGGCTGTTTGGTGCCGCGTGTCGTCTGTCACACCGTGATGTTAACCTTAGACACCGCCAGGCTTTTCCAGGGCAAAACACTGCCAGGCTTTTCCAGGACAAAACACTGCCAGGCTTTTCCAGGGCAAAACACTGCCAGAGGCCGTGCAGTTTAACAGGTGGAAAGAGCTGCTTTGCTAAGCGCAGTATTACCAAGAAGGAAGTATTTTTGGGGAGGGGTTACTACCTCAAAGGCCACGTGTGTGATGTTTCGCCCTTACTAAACAGATGGACTTTAAAAGATGGTCCCTAGTTTCTAGGCTGATCTGACACATCCTGTCTGGGGTAGCACAGAACTCAGGGCTGTTACAAGAACTTGGATTTCTCTCTCCTCTGGTGTTCATTTAACGCTCTCCAGCAGCTCCACGTTACCGCATTGCCAGCGTAGGTGGCCCTGCTCCAAGCAGGGCAGCGTTGGCTCTTTCTGCCAGGTAGGTCAGGTGCCGGGCACTGCCCTGCATTGCCCCTAGTGCTGGGAGATTGCATGGGAAACGTGCTGACCCAAAAAGGGTTAAAATTCATACCCCAAGTGCCTGCTTCTTCAGAAACGTGCTGTGGACTTTGCGTGGCAAACAGATGTGTTACAGGACTTTGAGTGAACGCCTATAGATTTAGCAAGTCTGTTCTGAGTAGAGCAAAAGCACCTAGCTGTTCGGCCTCACGCAGGCTCCAAAGTGAAACACCG